AGAACATGCAAACTCCACACAGAAAGATCCCGAGTGTCCTAACCAGCTGTGAGGCGATGGTGCTAACTCCTGAGCCACCATGCAGCCCACATTACAGGCACTTAGGCTGTAAAAACGTGAATCAGCTCAAGTGTAAAAATAATTTTCTGAGATGCAGAATTAAAATCTAAACAACTTCATGAACTAAAAAAATATGTTCAGTTTTTCCCAGAAAACTTCTGACCATGTTTAACAGTATTTTTCAGAACAGAATTGCAGTGTTTGTTAAGTTTATCAGAGAGCAGCTGCAGGAAACAGCAGTTAAAAAGAATTGAGTTCGTAGTTTTTCTTGTTTGACTTTTTTTCCATTTACACTAAAATTCTAAAAAACTGCTGAATCCTTCAGACTTTATAGTCTCTGAGAAAAACCTGAACACACCTGACAGGTACGAACCGGTCAGACCAGTTTCTCTCTCTCTCTCTCTCTCTCTCTCTCTCTCTCTCTCCCTCTCTCTCTCTCTCTCTCACACACACGCTCCCGCTCTCTGGTTGCCGTGGCGACCGTCTGACCTGCAGGCGTCGCTGCAGCGTTGTCGTTTCCTGTTTCATGTCCGACCCTGAACACATCCTGCTGTGACCTCATCACATCCTCCTGTGACATCACATCCTGCTGTGACATCACCACACAGCCCCTCAGCTGCCCCCTCATACCCCCCCCCCAAGGGCAGATCTGAACAAAGCTGCTGATTTCTAGATTTTCACCTGCAGTCAGAAAAACTGGCATGAAAAAATAAAATAAATGTGAAAATTATAATATATATAATACACAAAAATACTTTCAAAAATTGAACTTCTCTCTCTCTATGTATATAGATAATTAAAATAATATTCATAAAAAATTAGTATTTTAAACATTTAAAATAACTGAACAAATAATAAACAAAATCAAATGACATTTAAGTTACAAACAAATACATTTTCTCCTGTTTCTGACTCACGGTTTATTGATTATTATTTATGTTATTTATTGTCATTTTTATATCTCATGTTTTCTTTTTGCTTTTGTTGTTGTGTTGAAAATGTTGCTGTGTAACACCTTTTAAATATTGTTTTTCGTTGCTTTTTTTTTGTTTTGTTTTGTTGTTTTTTTTACTTCATAGGTCTGGATGATTCTGGTTCTGAGGTCCACCTCAGGACAGTTCAGAGCCAACAGGTGTCTTACCTGTGTTGGGGGCGGGGCTGGTGCAGTTGGAGGTGGAGCTCCAGGACTCTCTCGTCCTCCAATCAACGCGTCCAGGTCCAGATTTAGGTCCTGGATGGATTCGTAGATGTGGTTCTGTGGGCCCTCACAGCTGTCTTCGCTGCTCGTCTCCTCCTCCGCCACCTCCTCCTCCTCCTCCATCGCAGACTCCTGGTCGTCATGGTGACCTGCAGGTTCTATGTTGTTAAGTGGGGGGACCACCGGCGTCTCCACTGGGATTGGCTGGTTCTGGGGCCGCGGTGTGGAGACGGGGTCCGCCGGGCTGAAGCTGGGAACTCGAGATTTCCCTGAATCGGCCTGGTCGTCCAGGAAGCCCGGCTTTTTGCTGTCAGCCATGTTTGTAGTCTCTCCGGTTGCCGTGGCAGCTGTGTCTGTAGCAGCGGTGGGACTGCTGGGACGCCACGGTGCCGGGTCATGGAAGTCCAGTGGGACGCCAAATGTGGACATGCGGTTCTCATGCTTGTGGTGCCTGGAGGCACCGTCTGGTCGCAGTCGAATGGTCACCTCATCCCCAGCTTTGGTCTTGGGGCCGCTGGGCTCCTCCAGAGGCTTTGGGATCGGAACTGGAATGGGGACTGGGACTGGAGCCTCCACGGGCAGCAGCACCGGCTCTGGACCAGATGGGTCGGTGAAGTCCAGTGGCGAGGGGAAGTCCAGAGGCAGCTCCTTCACGTACTGGGCGGGAATGTAGAAGGGCTTGGAGCTGGCATCGCGCCGGACTTGCCACCAGTGGTCGTTGGTCTTTGCCAGCAGATAATAGCGCTCATTGGGTTTGATTGACACCAGCTCTCCGTCACGACCTTCATACTCGTACTCAAACTTCACCAGGACCAGGCCCAGACCTGCAACTGTGGGTCCAAAATGAACCAGATTGGAGGGAACACCAAAGGATAGGAGGTCAGGGACAGAAGCTAATGCTAATGCTAACACTGATGCTAAAAATAGGTAAAGAACTGACCTCTGCTGAGCAGCGATGAGGTGGCGGCCATGTTGACTCCTCAGGCCCCGCACCCTTAGGTAGAAGACTGCAAAGGTGAGGGTCAAAGGTCACAGCTGATCATCAGCCGCCTGAAACAGACAAGAGACACATCAGATCAGATCAGATAAAGCAGGTTTAACAAATCCAGACTTTCCCTGTTGGTCTGCAAACAAAACTTTATGAAAGCCTGTGAAGCAGCGGAAACTGAAACCTTCAGATTCATATGATTAATCAGATCACCAGCAAATTACACCAGTTTATTTTTCTATATTTTTGCTCTGACAGACAGAATCAGAGTGTTTTTCTGTTCAGAGCCGAATGAAAGCAGCAGCAGAGTAACAACAGCAATGAGGTTCTTCATGTCCGAACACGTCGACCTGCAGAAACATCTCAAGTCCTGCAGCTGCTGCATCCAGCTGTTACCTGCTCTGTCGTTCTGCAGATAAGTATGAAGCTTTAGCTAAGTTTACTGACACAAACATCCACCAAACAGCATAGATAGATAGATAGATAGATAGATAGATAGATAGATAGATAGATAGATAGATAGATAGACAGATAGATAATTATTAACACAAGTTTTTAAGGTGGCAAACATTAAAAAATTTGATTAAATTGATTAAATGAAGTTCATGCAACATTAACCATCAAAATAAGGTTTGAAACTTTAAGTTTTATTTGAATCACTGAATTTAAAAAAGCGCTGAGAACAAACTAAACATAAATCTACAAAATGAGTGAGCAAAGCCTCACATGCAGACGTCAACAGCTCACTGACACCTGAAGCCCCGCCCCTCTACCTGGGCAGTGCCGCTGGGTAGGCGGAGCCTGTGGTTTGGATGGAAGCCTGCAGGCTGTGAGTTGTGGTTCGAACATGTTTCACATAAAGGTTCAGGCAGGTTTTGATTCAGAACATCAGCAGCAGATGTTTGCATGGATGAAAAGGTGAGTCAGGTGTGTCCGGCCAATAGAAACGCAGATTCACCTGAAGGACGACACCTTTTCTGACATTCTGCTGTAGCGGAGGTTGAAGAGCTGTCAGATGTTTCTCTGCTTCATAGTCACCTAAGTTTTTTCTTTAACACCAACTTTCTGGTCACGTTTTTCTCAAAGTTTACACTTTATATCGCAGCTGATTATTGGAAAGTTAATCCTTGATCTTAAATTGGTCCTAAATCATGAAAACACGTCCATAATGACACAAAAACCTAAACCTGCTCTATAAGTGAACAAAACCTTTACTGAATCAGCTGATGTTTTTCTGGTTTGTGGTCAGCAGCTGTGAAGCCACATTTGTCCCCTGAGTTTGTTTTGTCTCATGTAATTTAAAAAAATAATAATAAAAACCACAGACACTTTTTGTAAAAATAGATATTTAGTTTAAAACAAGCACAATCCAGTATAAAACCAGTCTAAATCAAGTCTGAAACAAAGCTTCAAATCAAGTTTGAGATTAGTTTGAAAAAAGTTTAAATTCCATCTTAAAAACTTTAAAATCTCTCTAAGACGAGTGTCAAATCAAACACCAGCCAAAAAGCATTTCTAATCCAGTTTCAAATCAAGTCTAAAACCAAAATCTGAAACAAATTTTAAATCAGGTTTGAAACCTAAAGCCAAATCTAAAACTAAGCCTAAAACCAAGTCTGAAATCAAGTTCAAAACCAGCCAACATCCAGTCCGAAACCAGTTTAAAACAAATGTTGAACCTAGTCAAAAGTGAGTCCAAAAGTAGTTAAAAAACAAGTCTGAATCAAAGTTTGATATCATGTTTTAAATCAATCTAAAACAAAGTTAAAACCCCAGTCTAAAGCCAACTATAAATGCAGACTTCAGTGAGTCCAAAAGGAAGTCCAACACCAGTCTAGAAGAAGTCCAAACCCAAGTCTGAAACCAAAACGTTTCAAACCAGGTTTGAAATCTGTCTGTACCAAGTTCAAAATCTAGTCTAAAATCAGTGTAAACCCCAAATTCAAAAACCTGTCAAAAATAAAGTCTAAAACCAGTCTGAGTCCAAGTCTGAAACCAACTTCAAAACCAAAGCCAACATCCAGTCCAAAACCAGTTTCAAACAAACGTTGAAGCCAGGCTGAGGAGAGTTCAATAGTGGTCTAAAACCAGCCTAAAAAACTAGTACAAATTTGGTTTTGTGTAAATGTTCTGGCGGTTGCAGTGTTTGGACAGAGCCGACTGATTTCATCCTGACAGGGCCGAAGCTGCCCGGCTGCCTCTGAGCCAGGCAGGAACAATAGCAGGAGCTGCTCTGTGTTTATGAAGGGAAGCTCTGCTCTTCCTGCTGCACAGGCCCCGCCCACACCACTGCACAGGCCACGCCCCCACTGACATCACACAGCGCCGTGTGTTTCCTGTCTTTGTGCAGGAACAATAGTCAGAGTGCAGCCGGCGTCCAGAGAGCCGAGTGTTCTCGTCTGAACATTCAGTTAAAGTGTCTGATGACCGATCAATAACTGATCAGGTGATGTCATCAGTGCAAACATCACATCAGCTGCTGCAGTCAAAGTTGTCACTAAGTTGAAAACACCTGACATCACTTCGTAAAAACTGCATGAAAACCTTTCAGTTCAAGACAAAAATATTAATCAGTGAACCCTCTTCCACAGAGCAGAGAGGAGACGACAAGAGAGGAAAATCAAACATACTGGATCAATAAAATAAATGCTGCATGGCTCAAAAACAGTACACAGCAACATGTTAGAATACACATTCAGCAACTGTTCTGCTGTAGGCTGCAAGAGTGAACACAAGAGTCTTCATGCACTGCCAGCATCTGAGGAACTGAACACCCAGCGGGTTACTAGTTTTATTGATGGTAATGTCCCTACAACAAAAGGAGAATCCTCAGTTTAGTTGCAGCTAATCAAATCAAATCAAGTTTACTGTCATTTTGCTGTACATACACAGTAGTATAGGCAAGATGAGAGAGTGTTTCTTCAGGATCAATTAATTAGTAGGTTTTGCGGAATCAATGTCTGGGATAGACAAGATACTAAATGTTCACTCTCACGGTCTCCTGCAGGTGCGTGCCACCATCAAAAATCTAACATTAGCCACAAAAATAGGATAATCCTCAGTGTTAGTGTGTTGTGTGGCTATTGTGGCTACAATTAGCATTAGCCACAACAATGGGAGCCTCCTCGGTGTTAGCATTAGCTACAATAATAGGACAATAGCTAGTGTTATCACACTGTACAGCTAATGTGGCTAACATTGGCTTTGATGTTGTGTCCACAAGTCAGAGCTCAGTGGAAACTGTACAACTGAAGAACATTCAGAGATGGTGGAAATTTTAAACAAAGAAAAAGGACTTGGTGGATTACTGTGTTTTCATGTCGCCTGTTGTGCTTCAGTTCAGTCTGAACTCAGCTGCTGTTGTCATCTGTTAGCTTCTCTCCTGCTCTCTGTGCTCACACATGCAGCGGAACTCAAAATAGAGATGATTTTATTTACATTTTTTTTCCGTTTCTGTTGTCAGACAGCAGAACGGCGATGAAACAGTGACTAAAACTCATTCAGACGACATGATAACCAGCAGTCAATTCATTTCCAAGCTGCTGCCCTGCAGCTAAAATACTGATTTTATAACGTCGTCTGACAAACTCACCAAACACAGGAGTTAAAAGCAACGGCTTATCCTCTGAGAGAAAGTTAGCAGATTGAAAGTTCTGCTCTCACACACTCATTCATCTGTCAATCACAGACAGTGTTCTTCCTGGAGAGGGCGGGGCCAGCAGCAGCTCATTTAAAGCTATACACACTGAAACAGTTTAGAACTAAAACCAGGGTTATACAGTCACTGAGGATTCAACTACCTCTAACTGAAACACTGAAACATTCTGACGCTTTAATTAAACTGAAGAAAACCAAAACAATGTGGATCTTTAAATGTAAAAACACTGATTGGCTTAAACACACCTGAAGCTCACCTGGTTCAGGTGAGCTTCAGGTGTGAGAGACTCTGTTGGAATGCAGTCACCCCTCCCCCTCCCCCCTCTGTTTGCTCTGAACCACACCCACCTGCTGGTATGTAACACACACACACACACACACACCCACATAAACACACACACACAGACTCAACCTCAGCACTGAGAAAATAAACGGAGCTGTCAATCATCAAACTGAGGTCAAGGCTTTGTGGCAGGAGACATCAACCAATCAGAGCTCAGCAGGAATGCATGTGACATCATAAAGTCAGCAGCCAATCAGAGTTGGGTCTGCGCAGTAAGTTGAACCTTTACCCTGTATGTGTGTGTGTGTGTTTGTGTGTCTGTATGCGTGTGTGTTTGTATGTCTGTGTGTTTTGTGGGTGTGGTCACACTGAAACAGAAATAACTGAGTCATAAATCTGTCACTTGGCTCCGCCCCTTGGAGGCTGCAGGAATGCACAGAGAGAATCTGCACGCGCTCAGTTCAGACGACATGTCAGTGACACACAAATAGCACCGCTCTCTGATTGGCTGACAGCTCTCAGTGGCTGCAGGTATCAATCACAACAGGACAGATGTTTGATGCTCTGCTAGCTGTTAGCTCGCCCAAGGATTTCCAAAACATTCTTCAGTAGCTCTGGAAACTTCTCACACGACCCTGGAACAACTTCAAGGACCTCCAACAGCTCCTTAAATCCCTCCAAACTGTCCACACAGACCCTGGAAAACTCATTAAAAGGCCTACAAATCATTCAAGGACCTCACAACCTCTCAAAGACCTTCCAGAAATCTCTAGGATCTGCTCAAGGACCATCTCTGTCTCCTTTTCTGCTTCATACCTTTATAATGACAGTTTCCAGGATATTGTATCATTTTCCAGGACCACTGCAACCTCTAAAGCTTCACAAGGACATCTAAGACTTTCCTGTGAATCCCACAGCTCTCTCAAAAACCTTCAAAACCTCCTTAAGATTCTCAGTGGAGAACCTAACAGACATGGAAAAAACCTGCAACCTCCCCAGTGACCATTACAGCCTGCTGAAGGAACTCTGATCTGCTCAAGGACCTCCACATCCTTTACAGGGACAGCTACAACTTACATGGAACTCTGAAACCTGCTCAAGAACCTCTCCTACCATTTCAAGGACCTCTGGAACCTGCTCAAACCCTCACTGACAACTGAAATCTGCTCAAGGATGTTTACATTCTCATTAAAACCCTTACAGTGTTTTCAAGGACCTCTGTGGCCTTTGCAAGGACCTCAGAACACGTCGCAAGGACCTCTACATCGTCCCAGTGGGCCCTCATATCTGCTAAATTATCCCGTGACCCTACTCAAGGACATCTTAAAGACCCATCTCAAGGTTCTCAAGGATGAAGAATACCTGCTCAGCTGCCATTACAACCTCCTCCAGAACCCTGAAACCTGATAGAGGACTGTAAGGATCTCAAGGATCTATAAGACCTCAGTTACATCAAGAACTACAGGAACCTACAAAAGGACACTTATGACTAGATTCACAAGGACCTTTAAGGCCTCATTCACAACCACCTCAGAAACTACAAGAACTTCCTGAATTACAAAAACTACTTCCTCAAGGACCCCTTAAACATGGTCAAGAACTTCACAGACTTTAAGGACATCTACAAACTTGTAAGGATCTGTAAAACCTACTTAGTTCTCTCTACAATCTTGATATGACATCCTGAAGGACCACAACTGTCTTCTCCAGAACCCTTACACCTGGTAAATGACCTCAAGGACCTACACGACTGCATCCATTACATTTATAATGGCCTTGGGGGGCTACAGGAACCTCCTCAAGGTCCTGTCGAACTTTGTCAAGAACCTCCAAAACCTGTGAAAGGACCACTACAGCTTTCTCAAGGACACTGAAATCCGATGAACGTCAAGGACCTCATTCATTACCTTTACAGCCGCCTCAAAGACTACAGGAACCTCCGGGCGGCTGTGGCTCAGGTGGTAGAGGTTGGTGATTCGATCCCCCGCCCCTTCACAGCCGAAGTGTCCTTGGGCAAGACACTGAACCCGAAGTTGCTCCCAATGGCAGGCAGCACCTTGCATGGAAGCTCTGTTGCCATTGGTGTAGGAATGTGTGTGTGAATGGGTGAATGAGAAACACATTGTAAAGCATTTTAAGTACCACTAAGGTAGAGAAGCGCTATGTAAGTGCAGACCATTGACCATTCCTGAAGAATAACAACGACCTCCTCAAGGACCCTTAAAACCTGTTCAGGACCTACCAAGTACTTTAAGAAACTCCTGAAGAATCTCTACAACCTATTTAAAGTCCCCTACACTGTCATCAAGGATCTCTACAATGTCCTCCAGGACCCCCATACCTGATGAAGGACCTCAAGGACTTACAAGGCCTCAGTTAGTACCTTTACAAATCCACCAAAAACTATAGGAACCTCCTAAACCACAACAACCTCCTCCTCAGGAACTCTGAACCTCCTGAAGAACCTCTACAGCTTGTTAAAGAGCTCTACACCATATTAAGGATCTCTACAATCTCCTCCAGGACCCCCATACTCGATGAAGGACCTCAAGGACCTCTAACCGTCATCCATCACCTTTACTAGCACCTGAAGGAGAACAGAAACACCGTAAAGAACCACGACAACCTTGTCAAGCACTTGTATGAGTTAGTGAAGGACCCCTACACCCGATGCAGGACTGCAAGAACCTCAAGGACCTCATCCATTAACTTTACTACCACCTTGAGGATAACAAGAACTTCCAGGAGATCAAAACAACCTCCTAAAGGGCCCCTAAAATGTCATCAAGAACCTTTAAGACCTCATTCAGCAGCTTTACCTCCTCATGCTAAGCTAACGAAAACATCATCATTCTTGGGCCTCTTTCACCATAAAATGGACATTTTCTAACTTTTTTACCTCTTGGTTTGTTCACATTTCTGTGATGAGACCTAATTATCAGGTAGCTAAACACTAATAAAAACATACAACGATCCCCACAAATCCAAAAGCAGATTGTCGTCTTTGTGCTGGTTTTAAACATGTTTTTACAGTTTACCGGACATTAATTCATGTGTATGAGTCTCTCAGATACAATAGTAAAATAATGAAGTTGGTCTGAACTGTTACCTTTCAATGTTTAACATAAATTTCAATGAGCTAAATCTCATTTTGCAAATATAGAAGGTTTAACATGTAGCAGAGATACACTCAGTTCTCATTCATGTTGTTGGAAAACACTATACAGAACACATTTATGAATTTAAATATATTTTATATGTTTATACCTTATTATTGAGTATACATAATATATTACTGAGTATAGATAATATGAGATTCATGCACTCATAAAAATCTACTACACACCAAATACGGGCTATACATAGTTATGTGTCTGTGCTTTGCTTTTTATTTAACTTTAATACATATGAGGAATATTCATATCCTCGGTTTTAGTTTTTTAATGAAACAGATCACAAAGCAATATATGATTTAATGAAGCTAAAGGATTTAATGTAAAGGAACGTCAGTAAAACGCTGAAATAAAACCAAGTTGTGTTGCAGGATTATTTTACCTTCTTTTTTTTCTTTAACATTTTTGTCAAAAGTTTAAAATTAAGAGCTTTAATCATGTTAATTTTTTTTTTAAATACATCTAAATTGAGTTTTATTGAAGCTGCAGGATTAAACAAAAAGAAAGTCAATAAAATGTTGGTTAAAAGAAGAAAGTTTTTAAAACAAATAAACACAACTTGAACTTTAAAAAAAAGAAAAGAAATGTTAATATGCCTTGGATAAATGTGACAAAATAGACATTTAATCCTATCTAAATAAAATTGTATAAATGTACATTTACAGTGTTTCTTATATACTCAAAGTATCGTGCAGAATTTGACAAATTATTTTAACAGTAATTCATTGTATTTGAGTATACTTCTCAGTTCCTATTCATAACAGACTTTAATGAGGCAAACCTTTGAACTGAAGCATTTCATTTATCATCCACATGAGTTTTTCCTGCTCAGAGTTCCAGTCAGGAGATCTCACTTTCTTCCTTTAGTTCTTCCCTTTCTGTGACTAAAAATCAATTAAACTGATTTTTAATCCATTTACGAGATAAACACAAACAGAATCCTCTTGATTTTTATTCTGCTTCTGACAATAAAACGCAAAAACGTCAATATTTCAGCTCTTAAAGAGGATTCTGAACTCATGCTGCCGTCGTGTCTCATTTACAAGTTAAACCACAGACTGGAGTCTTTACAATAAACTGAGTTTGTGTTTGATATTTTTTCATTTTCTTTCTTTCTGCTTCTCTGTCAGCTTTGTTCACAGTTTCATTCGTCTGATTTTTACAGACAAAAACCTGCAGAGGCTGAAAGTAGAGCCTAAAATCAGGACACAGTGTTTTTCTCTGAGCGAAACACACCCGAACGCACATACCAGCAACACACACACACACACACACACACAGAGACACACACACACACACACACACTGTGGCCTCAACCAAACATCTGAAAGCTAAAATTAAACTATAATGTGGGGTTTTTTTGTTTTTTTTATAAACTCACTGAAAACATTTTTTTCCCTCTTCAGATTTCTGCACTAAAAACAACATTTGAAGTTCAAAAACCAACAGAAGAATCACAGAAAACTGATTCCTGACTACAGCTGATCAATACACCGACAGTCTGATCGACTAACAGACAGAGTTTGTTGAGTTTTACCTGCAGTTAAAGTCAGATCAACCATCCTGCTGCTGTTTTTTCTCTTGTGTTCCTGAAGGGGAGAGTCCAACTCCCTCAGACAGGTTCCTCTCTCTCTCTTTGGCTCCGCCCCCCGACCTGCCTGTCACCCTCCCTCCCTCCACCCCCTCAGTTTATATCCTGAAGTTGATTTAAACAGAGCAGCAGCGCCACCTAGAGGCAGCCTGCAGCACCAAGCTGCAAGACTGACTGGTGGTGAGGTGCATCCAGGGACACAAGAGGTTATTGCATATTTAAAGTAATTTATTCAGGGACCCACGAGGTTTTCAGATATTTATCATTGTGATGCATTCAGGGACACATTAGGTTTTGAGGTATTTAACATGTGGTGCATTCAGGGACACACAAGGTTTTTAGGTATTAAACGTGATGCATTTGGGGACACACAAGGTTTTTAGGTATTAAATGTG